CAAAATGGATTCACTTTAATAAAAGTAAATCAAGCTGTAAACAATCAAAAATGCTTCTGAGTGGCCACCAGTTAACCTGATTACAAACTCAGTGAATGGATGTGCAAAATGTATTGTACTGTATGTGTATTGTAATTGTAGAGGATGAAAGCGTTAATAAAGGAGTTAAATCTGCCTTAAGATAGAGCTGGTTAGCTTATTTCTTGTCCACCTCCAGCTGTACCTCTGATATTTTAAATAAACTTTATGGACACAACTAAGCAGTGAATAAATAAAATGTGCAACATGTCAAGTGACAAAGCATGTATGCAAGAAACGAAATGGAGCAAAGGTCTGAGCCCCGACTTTATTTCCGAATCCTGAAAAAGAAACAGCAAAGCAAGAAAAACTACAAGCAAAGGAACAAAGAGAAATATGACATGAGGCGAGGGTTTGGGTGTTAAAAACACACGGCTCTGCGTGCCTCCTGAGGACAACACGCTGGCCGTTACAACGCCTGATGATAGGAGACAGTGACAGCCATTCAACCAATCACATCACAGTGACATGATCCAAGGTAATTGGGGACATGGCACCCTGGAATCAGCTGCTACCCAAGTCATTAGCCGCAACACTGTGCACACACACGCACGCACACACACACAACCTTTTTAGTGATTTGTCTGTTGTGATGTAAACTGTGTCTCAATAGTCTGCTTTCTTCTCTAAAAAGGTACTAGAAAGTAAGAAAACACTTATTATCTTTAACATTTCATGCTAAAGATAATATGATTTATAAATTCACATTGAATGTATAAAACATTAGAACCTGACATTAAATATACCTCCAAACTGTGTCAAATATCATCAGTCAATACCTGAATCTGCATATACGGCCTTTTTATGACAGTAAGTTATTATAAAAAAGGTAAAAGATGGTCAATAAGTCTTGGATCAGATACACTGCCAGTGTGTAAGCTAAGCAGAAAAGCACTGCACACAGTACAATGCCACTCAGCCAACCATATACAGCAACACAACTGAAGTGACAGCAAATAATAAGAGTCTGTTATTATTTGCGTATAGCTCTGTAAATACGGTAGCTTTACCTCTTCCTTCGCCTGTCAGTCCTCTCCCTTCTTTACTGCTTTTCCCTCCCTCTCTCTTTCTGCCTGTGTACAGTTACTGCAGTGGTCTGGCTCTACCTGCTGACTGGGCAAAGCAAACTCTCACTTTCACTGCTGGGGAAAAGGCGGAGATGAGGGCAGAAAAAGTGCAAGAGGAAACGATAACTCAAAGTTACCGTGACAACAGAAACCTCAGCTAACCCTGGACCGCACTCAGGCCTGCTGATGTTACTCTTAGCACCTAAATGTTTGATTAAATCACCTTACTGATGATCTAAAAGGGCATCGGGATTTGAAATCCAAAAACTATTTTGCAACAGAAAAACTCCCAGTGCTACAATTGCTATTTATTCCCTATTTACTTATTTATTTCCTCGCTGTGTCACTTCCTTTCTTCAAATTTCCACAGATTCCTCGTTTCATTCCTACCTCATTTTCCCAGTTAAGTTCACCTGAATACTCCCCAAAAGTTTAAAGTTTAATTAAAGTTTAAACAGAACCTTAATCTTCATCATTTTAATATGAAAATGAAAGATTAAGTTTAGCTTGTTTTCCTTTTTTTCCCAAGTTTAAGACTCCATGTGTGTCTGTTTTTCTTATCTTAAAGACACTTGAGTTTAGAAAAGCAAACCTTAAAAGTTCATATTTATTTCCTGCATCTTATTTTGAGGCCACTGATAACGGATGACTTTCTTGGCTTTAAGATAAAAATGAAAATTGAGAAAAGACAGTCAGGAACTTAAAATGTGGGTGAACTCTAAGAAAAGTGTTCTTATTTAAACACGACTAAAAGAAGAGCAATTTTAGAGACATAAATACCGTTTGACACTGGTTTACTTATTACTTTGTAAGTACTGTCAAACTGTTTAATAAATTCATTCATTTTTCATTTTTGCTTCCTGTGAACGTTAAACGTTATTGCTGTGGTTTCTCTGATTTCAGGTTTTTGTCTTTGTTTTGCCTTTTTCCCCCATTGACCTGAAGCAGCTCTTTGTCTGGTTGTCCTACAACTTAAACATGAAGAAGTGTGATAAACTTTACATTATCTTGCAATAACCTTTCTGATTTTATTATTCTAACCGTGACCATAACCATGTGTGAGGTCATCAAGCTCTGAACTTTGATTTCTTCCAAAACGAGATAGTAAAAAAATGTCATGAAACAGTGTGCGATGCTCTTGAGAGCTTTTACTTTGAAAAGACTACAGAGGAATTCAACATAGCCTCTGACTGGATTGTTGTTAGTGAGTTAGCTTGACACATAACTTGTGAGGAAGTGAATCAGACGTACCGTAGCCACTGAGAAAATAACTGTTTCTCTCCTAACATTTTAATTTCAAGTAACATAACAGTTCAATTATTTGCATGCTGTTTTATTTCATTGTTTTATTCATACAGCACTTCATATATCTGTATGCACAGCTGCTCCTGGAAAACGAGGAAGATGTACAAAACAAACCTTTAAAGTCTTTACAAGTTATGATTGTGACTGTATCAAAACTCTTGGACCTAGTTTCTGCAGAAGTGTAGCCTTTTCTTCTGGTTATTGGAGCACAGGTGCTACACCTCAAATATGAAACATGAAGAAATATGTATTTCTAAACCCTGGTTCTCGCCCTGATTTTAATGTGTGTTAATTATTAAGTTCAGGGAACAACCAGCGCTTATTTATCGGAACATCTCTGCTCACCGCTTCCCATCAGCCAGCTATTCTTTCCCTATATGAGTACTTGTCTCATAATTA